CTATTTGAGACTGCTCAACTCAGTGTGGTTTGAGGAAAGCGTGTGACGATTTAGGCATGAGGTTTGCACAATGCTAAGTGGTGTGATATAAGCTTCCATTATTGTTAGCTACATTAGTCTCAACTCTAGTACAAAACTACTAAAGCAGATTTCAGACACCAAACGTGGCTCAGCTTATTGACTACATTTGATTTGATTTTTATTAAGTCTCTCAAATCAGACATTGTTTACTCATACTGCAGTAGCCTTGCTACTTGAGCCCTGTAATCTGGCATATGAGTATCAGCCAAAGGTTTGGAGACTTATGTGTTTAATAACAGCATATAAGAGTCTAAACTGTGTGTGACTTCTGCATATAACTGTGTTTTAGGGTACTTTGTTTGAACTGTGAATAGCATGTGGTTGGAAGGCATTTTTAGGCAGTATTTATTCAGAGTGAAACACGATCTTAGAGTCGAGATGTTTGTATGTTTAAATGTAGGATGTTACACGTCTGATGAGGTTGCAGTGTCACTTAGAGGCCTATTTGTGGTTTCACATAAAACCAGTAAATGAATCACTGTCTCATTTCTCTTTTCAGACCGTCCTTTGCCCCAGTACACCTCCTCCTGAGGTCTTCTGGCCTTCCCGTCCCCCTCTCTGTCTCCAGCAGCCATGACCACCGCCACCACCACCACCGACTTTGACAATGCTGAGATCACTCAGCAGTATAGCCGCATCAACACACGCTTTGAGTTGTCCGATGAAGAGCTGGACAATGACAACAGCTCAGCCCGGCGCTTTGAGCGCTCACGCATCAAAGCTCTTGCAGGTGAGTTCTGGACAACTGCCCTTTTGGGTGGAGGACCTTTTTCTTTAAGGTATTTTAAATGATAACTATAATCTCTCTGGAGTCCTTGTCAAAATGATAGAGAACCAGAGCATATATATGCTTGTCATAGTATTCTCTTTAATGGATCATTCCCAGACTTTTTCCCTTACATGCTACATTGCTGCTAAGTGTATTACTGTGTGGAATACATCAAATGGTCTTAACGTTACTGTATCCGGGTTCAATACATTGGGCTTCTTGTGGGTCTATATTATTTTCCTCTAACTCTGGGTAACTCTGGGTATGAGTTTATGAATCTGGGCGACTCAACCCTTTCCCCTCATTCTCTTCTCCTCCCCCTTCACGCACTAAGATCGCTGCCGCATGCCCAGCATGCCTCAGTATGATGGGGCTGGACAGCTGCCCTGCCTGTCTACGCCCAAGGCTCAGCACTGTGGGCACTGAGAGCCTGTCATTGCTGCCACACCTGTGGGGTGGCTGCACTGCAAAAGGGGCCTTAAAATAGCTCTGCATGAGGCCATAGACTCATAGGTGTTCCAGAAACCCAGCTACACTGACCGGGTTATCTCAAACAGAGACAGCTGGCTGGAATATTTGATTACAGAATCCTACGCTACACATGTGATATACATTAGAGCTTCAAGTAACAGTTATGTCTATAATTGATTAACCAATCGATTTTTTGAAAAAGCGAACTGTTATGCCTTCTGCTGTTTCTTCTTGCTTTGCTTCCATTACAGTGCTGCCATCATTCAGATCTGTACAATGAGCAGATCCCTCCTTTATCTGTTGGAAAACCCATAGCATATGGACATTATAGAGCATTATAGAAGATTTTAATTAAATGACATCTTCCATAATTAACATCACCATCAGCTAATCGACTTTGGTGAGGAATCGCTAAAACCTTACTACCCAAAACATTTTAGGGGAATAATAAAAGGTCCACAAATTTGCATCAAATCAAAGATGAGATGTTTTGCTGAGAAACATCAGCTGAGTAATTCAAACACACACTGTCCTGATCGACTTGAAGGTGGGAATGTTTTTGGCATTCCAAAAGCTGAGAAAGGTTTGGATTAAACTCGTTGTAAGACCAAAATCGTAGCTCAATGCCAAAACAGCACTTGTGTGTACAAGCCAACCTATAAAGCCTGCAATAATATTTTAAAAGTCAGAGGTGTCGGGACAGATTTTGCAGGAGTTTTTTATCATACGTCTTTACATATTAAAGTCACACACACAAAGACTCAAAAAGAAGGTCTGCCTTGATATTTAGGAATGCAAAATCAACATAATACTGAAAATCATGCCATACCCCATTCCATACCCTTTGTATTAGTGTTGTTAAGTGATGATTACTTATTATTAAGTGACTTAAGATACATATTTGAATTTTGCCTTCAATGTATTTGGTGTACCCCCACATACACCTAGTTGTTGTAACCCACCGTCCCCCTTGAAATTATTTAAACATTCGAGCACCAGTCATAATTCATTTATACATGACAATTTTCCAACATATCTGTACTGTGTAGAATTAAGCTGGCAGTTCTTCATACTTTGGCTTTAAAACTGATGTACATAAATGAACTCTATTCAGACTGGCAGCTGTGTATTGTACCTCATTCAAAAAGCAGTCCAAGCTTAAATGTACAGAATAAATTAATAAATTGATTAATTAAAATTAATTTTCATGTTTTTCATCTCTTTTTCCCCTTTAAACCTCTCCGTACTCTTAGATCATCTTCTTTTGATGTGTATACTGTCCCTCTTTCTAACTTTATTAACTCTGCGATCAAGCATTTTCTACAGCAGCATCTTGACTTTGGAACTACCTTCATTAAACAGTCTTTCTATCTTCAAAACTCATCTTAAAGCAACAGTTTGGCCAAAAATTAAATGTACACAATGTGTATCAGCCAAGAGGTTTGTTGTGCCTGAAGTTTGTCTCTAGTTTTAGGCTGGAGCTGTGAATTTAATGCAACGAACAAGCAATGGAAGCAAATAGCCAGCAGTTCAGCATCATGAAAAGTACAACCATGTCAAATTGGCTTATGTGGTTTCTGGCACTGTGTAATATACTGCTGTCTATTAAAATGCACAAAAGTATGGATACCTAAAACAGTAATAGTAACCATGTTGCAGTCTGAATTTCGTTGGTATGTTTGTTTGTTGCTCCTGTTGTCTGAGTCTTTAAGGCTGGAACATGAGGCTGGGTGAGAGCTGGTGTTTGATGTGTTCTGTGCGTGCAGAGATGTTTCTGTGATTCAATTAGAGCTTCATGCCTAAGACAGGCAGAGACTGAGCAGGAGAAGGGGGCGAAAATGGAGGGAGCAGCAGACGGATCTTTTGTGCGTGTAAATAACCCAGCATTTCAGAACACACTAAGAAAGACATGTGTTTCACATTATGTAGACATGTACAGTAATGTGCGTGACATCACCCTTCATTTAATTCATTTACAGTCAAAAAGAGCATTAAGCTATTCATTTTTCATCATCAGGAAAAAGAAAACATATGTAACAGAAAATGACTCAGAAGCCTCAACAACTAAATTCTTTTTAAACTATTTTCAGTTTTTCAAAAAAAAAAAATCTGCAGGGATATTTTTCCAGACCTCCAAAGTTCAGTCTTTGAAGTTGGTTGCATTTTCTGCTTCTCACAATCCGAGTAATCCCAAACACATTCAGTGATGTTAAGGCCTGGATTCTGGGTGGTCAGTCCATTGTTCTGAGCAGCTTCTTTGTTTGATCTGAATTTTCTTCTTTTTTGTCCGGTTTCTTTTTACTAAAAGCATCTTGACAGCTACACATCCTTCATCTGAAGCAAGAGTGGATCTTGATTTTCTCTTATCTTTTCTCTAATCATTTTTTAAAATTCTGCTTTGGAAGCTTTTTCACTTATCTTCCTTTGACATTCCCATTCTTTATTCAAGTGGGTTATCTTATATTTATTCTCCTCGGAAATATCTTCTAAAAAATTGTACCTAATGGCCATTTTGAGTGGAAATCAAATAAATTAGAAGTGGTTTCTGAATTTGGCAAATTGCTGTACCCCTTCAGGGTCTTTGGCAGTAGGCATACTTGTCTGAGCTAATCCTCACACAGACACTTCTTATCACACATGGTAATAGAGATATGACATTTCCAACATACACAATCAACACACACAAAGTGAGAAGAACACTTTCACGCTCATTATCTCATACTCGTTTTATTTTTTTTAAGTTTACAAGTGTCTTGTAATTCCTACATTAATAGGTACAAAAAATCTATCTTGATACACAAATCTGAAGGCAGAGATTCAAGAATCGATTATAATTGATTAAAATAATATTGCATGATCTTTTTTTTTAACCAAAATTAAATTCTGAAGGTATTTTTCATATTGTTTTTATTGTGTACTGTCTATTGATTTCTATTGTTTTTATTGACTACTGTGAGAAGTTCAGTAGTTACATTTGTGTATTCTGTAGGGAGGATCTGAATCAGCCAAAATCAGAATCAGCAGATTTTTGCTCAGAGCATGGAATCAGCAATTGGCCAATTTATTGTTTTTATTTTGCCAGATCTGCGTTGAAATGTTATGACATAAATATTGTGAGGCATGTAAGTGAACTCACCGTGTTTTTCAATGTGGCTGCTACACCTATATCAGCATAATTATACACCTTTTAATTGACTCATTTCAAAGGCAACTAATTTAAATGCCAGTTTGGCCCTATAAACAGCAATTATTTTACAATTATTGCAAGTTCAGCTAATAGAAAGTACTGGAAATGTGTTAGTGTGTATCATACATTCCTTTACCCTTACTCTGAGTTTTGGATATTAGAAAAAATAATAAAAATCGGCTAATAAATCAGCAGTTGGCAGTTCTGACTATAAAGAAATTGGAATCAGAAATTTGAGATTTCATAACACGTTGAATCATTTTCTAATAAAATTTTACACACCATACATTAGTGAATCAGTCTCAAATCATGAAGCCTCATGTTTCCCAATTGATGACATCATTGCTATGTGTGTGTGTGGGTGTGTGTGTGTTAGTTTGTGGCGAGGAGAAGCAAGCAGGGATATATTATATGCATGAGCGAGGCACTGGAGAACCACTTTGTTCCTCACGCTGCCTTGGAGAGGCAGAGGCGTGTCGCTCAGGACAAGAGAGTGAGAGAGAGAGAAAGAGGGAGAGAGAGGGATAGAGTAGTAGGACAGAGGAAAAGAGAGAAGAGGAGCACTCAGAGAGGGAAGGAGGGAAGCGGGACACTCTGCGTCTGACGGACTTTCTCGAATAAGGATGAGTAGCCCGTGCCTTTGCCGCCCTGTACCGGTCAGCCAGAGTCGGCTGCGGGAGGTCAAGCTCAGCCTGAAGACCAGCAGAGAGGCCAGCACTATTCGGTCCAATGTGGTACGGGAGATCAGCAGCCGGACATATTCTACTGGAAAAGAGGTGCCGATTCGGGTCAGTAGCAACCCCAGCCGGAGCAGGAGCACCCCTCCCGTTTACCGGGCCCAGCGTCCTGACGGCAAGAAAGGACCCAAGACCAATGGGCACAAACCCGAGCATCTGCCTGAAAGGAATGGCACGTTGCTGGATGTCCCATCACCCGCAGCCCCCCTGACCCTGTCTGCCTTCTCTTCTTCCTCCTCATCGTCCTCCTACACCCCGAGTCTGACCCGGCTCTCTCCTTCGCACCTGCCTCCTTCATCTTCATCATCGTTTTCCTCCCAGGGCATGAGGCGTGCTCGCTGGCTGAGCTACAGCACCTCCAACATCTGCTTCAACTCCATCTTGGATGGGAGGTTTAGGCAACTTCAAGGTAGAGTTCTTTCTCAGCTCAATCCTGCCCCCTCCCTCCATGGGACAAAAAGGCATGCCCCTCCTCCCCGTCTCCTGGGTGTAGTGAGAGAAGGAGGAAGGTTTACGCTTTTGGAGTCTGCTGATGTGGTTACTGAAGAGGGAGTGTATAGCTGTGCTTTCATGCTTGTGGCTCTTTTTAAATGTACTCTTAACTAATTCATTTCTGATGTTGAGCATATGCCCCAATTGTTCACTGGTTTAACACTAAATATTTAATGGCACGACTCTACAAATGTTGTTTAATACATTTTCTTTGAACCTAGGATCGAATGCAAAAGTTTAAACGCCTCTAGTCAAATTACATGTTTTTTTGATTTTCTAAGTGGGAAAAAAAGTTAAAATATCCTCTACAGGGAACAAATTAAATATGGCATTAATCTGTAAATTTTAGAGCAAACATTCTATTTTTATTTTTTTGTTGTTGTGGGATTTTGCTGAATTCAACATAAAATACAAATAGGCCTCATTTTCACATTTTTCCCATTATGTTACATTCAGCAAATAAACAGTACTTGTGCATTAAACGTGCAGAAGTGTGTTCTATATAGATGATGTGTACTAATTTTCACTTGGAAAATCCACACAATTTGCAATTTGACTTTTGCATAAGACTCTATAAGCCAGAGTTTTATATGTTTTTGTTTTTTTTCTCTGTGTTTTGTTTCGTGTCCACACTTCATGTCTCTAGAGTAAACTCCCTTCACACTAATTTATCTTGCGTGTTATTCCATTATCTCCCTGACACAATCTGTCTTTCTCTTTCTTCCTTTCTCATCTCCTCTCCCTGAGATTTGAAGCAAGTGGGTATTTTGATATTCAGCATCATTTCCCAACCTTTGTTTCCACTGGCTCATGTTATGCTTATTTTTAGAGACAAGTATCACCATGAATTTGCGTAAACCCAGCTTTTGTTCTTGGTACCAGCAGTGCTTTGGTAGGCAGGACGAGATGCACAAATTAAAGTTGATTTTACTTTTTTTAATACTGTTTTCTTAGCAGTGCAATGAACTGTCTCAGCATTTCCTTACTGGCTGTTATTTTGGGGGCTGGTCTAAAAGATGGGACAGCGTTTCAATATGCCTTTTTTCCTTTTATGTTCACCTCTACTCTCTCCACATGCTTCCCTTATCTTTCCCTTATCATTACCTTTTAACTAATTTAGTCAGAGCATTTAGTCATTGACACCTATAGGCCCTGTCTCATACTCCTCTCTGGTCACTATGCCTTTGTTTCAAGTGACACTCTTGTTAAGTTTCACTGCCAGAAACCCCTTTGTGAATGTGAAAAAGTGTTTTGGTGTTGAAAAATTTACAGCTTCAACCCTCGCTCTGCCAATCTATCCACCATTACAGGAAACAAGAAAGATGTAGCCTTAGAGAGATCAGATTTACCCAAGTGCTATGTCTTGAATTTTCACTTCGTAAGAAGAGCCTTGCAACAGCACAGCAATATTCTTCTGCCTTAATATAGACAAAAAATACATATAAAAATTCACGGTTGGTTGCATAGCTGAAAACAGTAGTAACAGCTGTCGTGAAGCCATAATTTGGTGTATTTCTATAAATAACGGTATGTCATGGTGTCAGAAACTGCATAAGCATGTCTGTTTGAGATTACTTAACATCTCAGCATGGTTGTAAAGATTTAGGCATGCAGTTTGCACAATGGTTAATCATGGGTTATAGCCTTGTATCTCTAGTATTAAACTGAAGAAGCAGACATGTCTGCTGATTAACCACAATTTTGCAGAAGTATTCCTTGAAAGTGTCAGCTGATATATTTACTTATTGGTAACGTGTATACATTTTGTGGCTTATATTTGAGTAATATCTTTCTCTGTTTTTTTTTTTTCAACTGAATATTCTGTACGAGCACCAATGCTGACTTCCTTTGTGAAACACCATCCCCTCACTAGTACACTGTTAGACATTTTCATTCATCAAGGTACAAACAATGGAAATGTACCTTCAAAGGTAAAACAATGCCTTTAAGGTCCAACTGTGTCCTTTACATAAGTTTGTCCCAGAAGAAAGGTACATATTTGTACCTGTTCATAACCTAATGTTTGAAAACAGAACAATAACATAAAAACACTGGAGATGAGACGGGCTATGTGAAGTCAATACAACTTAGAAATATATAATTTCAACGGATTGTGGTACAATTATGTTCCCTAACTGAAGGTACTGAATATGTACTCTTGGGGGTACCACCCCAACGACAAGAGCTGTACCGCCCTAGTGATAGTTTCATACAATTTTTTCTGAGAGTGTAATGACTTTCAGGCACATGCCAACATTGTGAAAGTTCACAAGTGTGCAGTGATGTTTTTTTTTGGATGGGGCTTTAGATGCACTGAATGGGACCACTGCAAGCGCTGACTGTGGGAAAAGACACAGGCTTGCTTTGTACAGGGAAAGTCCATCAGTATGAATAATTCAGTGGCCTGTCGCAAGAGCTTGAGAGGAGATTTGAGACCAGCCCAAGCCATGTGAAGCTGAGGAGCGTTTAGGCTTCCATTGATGCAGAGCAGATCTCACCTGATTTACATTGCTTCACACTAGTGAGAGCAGAGACTAGTGAGATGCAGGGGGCTGATGGATGATGAAAAATGCAGTAGTCCCGTTGAACTGAATGGGCTCTTTCCATGTTTTAGGACATCTGGAGCGCTGTTTCCAGACTGCACACTGATAACATGTAGAGCAGAGTTTGTTCAACATGACTTTGACTTTTCATCCAGGAGCATAATTGATGGCTGGATGGCTCAGATCAACTCACAGTCAGACACAACTTTGTTACAGCAATAGTTGCAATGTTACAAAAAATTTCCTCTGACTCTGAATGCAGCCAGAGCATGTTTGGTGTCTAAAGTTTCCTTCTTTAGTTTTGCGCTGGAGCTATGAGTCAAACAAAGCTAACATGTAGTGGAGTAATGGACGTTTATATCCCAATGAGCAATTAGCACTGTGCCAGCTGAATACCTATATCATCACACATGTTACTCCAACAGATGCAGAGCTCATCCCACCTGAGAGGGAGCTTTCTTTAGCAGAGATTAGTGCAGAGTTTGCTCAACATGACATTATCTTTCTCTTCTTAAACAAAATGAACAGCTGGATACAGAAATTAACATCTACCTATGGTTAACTGTGACATCTGAGGCCCTTGCCTTTATAATCAGATTGCCCTATCCGTGCATGTTGGTGGTAGGACCAGGAGAGCAGTGATGCAGATTGTTCTGATGTGTTCTGGCAGGGCCAAGGATCTTAATGGAGCTCCAGCTCTAACCTCCTTAGCGCAGGAAGACGTTTTCAAACATTATTTGCATGTTCTAATTGTCATGTCTTTTTCATGCATGGGTGGTCCTGGTTGGTGCGGCAGGCTTAGCGTGCTGCAGTTTTCCCCCGCCTCTGTGCGAAATGCAGGATCAAACATGTTTTATTCAGCGACCAGGACTTTCTTTTGCCAATGTAAAACTCTGCGTTCTTTTTTGGTGGAACAGGGCCACACATGACAGATATGGTCTGACTACACTGCCGCACTGTTTTCCTGTAGCTGAAAGGGAAAAAGGAGTAGGCTAATGTCTCGCTACTCTCAAGGGTCTCGTGGAGCCGAGGCTTAAAAGCATGGGTCCTCGCTCTCTGCCTCTCTACCACATTCTAATACTTTCCCTTCAGATGCTTTCCCTGCAATGCTACCTTTCTTACTGCTCTTTCTCACTCCCTGTTTTTCCATTGCCATGAGGCCTGAATCATTTATAAAACACATCATTAAGGATGCAGTATTTTGAACTGTTGTTTGGAAGGGCCAGGAATAAGAGTGGAGGAGGAATTAAGCATCCAGAAGTAAATAAGCATACAATATCAAACTTACATACCATTCATGAGTTTGAATGATAATGTGATAATAAATAACTGGAATTAGTCACATGGTGGTCAGTGATGTCTTCAAGTTGGAAGAGTTTCTCAAAGTTTAAAGTAGACATCATATGGTCCTGCAGTATGCTTCTATCCTTGTGTTTAGCAGTAACAATTTTAAGCCCCCTGCTGTTTGGAAAGTCCCTGTATTCCACTTATTCCATTAAAACAGTTTGCAGCCAAAGTCTTTGCACATTTGGATCCACCACAGATACACAAAAACCCCTGCCATCTGCATAACAAAATCTGTCTGCACTGTTGTGATAGAGCTCCCAAACTCATAAATCTATGTCAAAAAGTGAACATATGGACAAGGAAAAACATCAGCAGACTCAGTCTCTGTTAGCTTAACAATTTCCATTCATCTTACTTACCAGATGAGCGAGAGGCTGTGCAAAAGAAGACCTTCACAAAATGGGTGAACTCCATCCTGGCCAGAGTCAGCTGCCGGATTTCAGACCTCTATCTAGACCTGAGGGATGGGAGGATGCTCATCAAACTGCTGGAGGTTCTGTCAGGGGAAAGGCTGGTGAGTATCTGCTGATGCAACCAAGCTGAAGTTAATAACAACCTAATGTGAACATGTTAATGCCCCCTTTATTAAGCTCTAACCTGAAATCGCTTTTTATTATTCCAGCCCAGGCCCACCAAGGGCCGAATGAGGATCCACTGTCTGGAGAACGTAGACAAGGCATTGCAGTTTCTAAAGGAGCAAAGGGTGCACTTGGAGAATATGGGATCACATGACATTGTCGATGGCAACCACCGCCTGATCCTGGGCCTCATCTGGACCATCATTCTTCGCTTCCAGGTAAAATGATTAAGTTTAAACTGCACTCCACTTGGACACAATTAAGTAAGTCCCTCAGTGATGTTGTTTATGTGCAGCTTTAATTACATGCTGTAGCTGAAGGCAACTAGCGCTGTTACTGTAGAGAGATGTAAAGTAATACAATCCTCAAGCTATCCAGTTGTTCCACCACTTACTGCAGTTTGTCCAGACACCAAGCATCCTTATCTGGTGTTACAGTAAGACCCACGGCAACAAGATTTTTGTTTTGTGTCGTCTGATGTTGGGCACGGCTTGTATGTATTTTTAATCTCTCGATTTGACAGCCAGTGTATTTTTAGCTCAGCTAGTTCAAACAATATGCTGCATAATTCAATCTCTCCGAAAAAAGGGGAAAGCAGAGGAGAGAGAAGAAAGTAGTTGTCTATCCTTTCTTCTGCCTGTATCCCTCAGCAGTATACAAACTAAAGAGAAAATGGGCATATCTATATTTAGCCTCCAATGCCTCTACATCTCCCAGAGCTGAAGGCTTGCAGTCAATTAGATCTTCCAATTAATAGAAAGCTGTGTGGGAAAATAACAGTCTCAGTTGGAAAGAAGGCAAACTCAAATAGCATTAAAGAACATAATATGAATGTTACAGAATGCTTCTACATTATGCACATATATGCTACCAGTTCTCCACACATCTGCTTGTAAAAAGTAATGCATGATGAAAATTTGAAGTGCTTGATGTTTTTATTATTTCCTTGGCCTTGATCAGATTCAAGACATTGTGGTGGAAACAGGACAAGCTGACCAGACAGGAAAGCAGGAGACACGCTCAGCCAAAGATGCACTGCTCCTTTGGTGTCAAATGAAGACTGCTGGGTAAATGTCATCCTTCTCCCCAGTACTACCAACATATCAAATACTGATGATTAGAGTGGCTGTGTTGGTAATTGGTATTCTTTTTTATTTTTAGGTACCCGAATGTAAACATCACCAACTTTACCACAAGTTGGAAGGACGGCTTGGCTTTCAATGCCCTTATACACAAACACAGGTGCTGGGAATTAACAAACTGCTTTCAAAAATGAAAGAATTATTTGCTTTCAGAAAATACTGAAGCTATATTTCTGTAATTTTCCCTTCCTTAGGCCAGATCTGGTGGACTATGGCAACCTGCAGAGATCCAACCCAACCCACAATCTACAGCAAGCTTTCAACGTGGCTGAGCGACAGCTTGGAGTTACCAAGCTCCTAGACCCAGAAGGCAAGAATATCCTTCATATACCAAAGACAACCCATGCAAACAGTGCCTTTAGCAGTGGTTTATTTTAAAAGAGTTTATTTCTATGTCTTTTGCCGCTTGCAGATGTGTTTACCGAGAACCCAGATGAGAAGTCCATCATCACGTATGTTGTTGCGTTCTACCACTACTTCTCCAAAATGAAAGCTCTGGCAGTTGAAGGCAAACGAGTTGGGAAGGTAAAAAAAGACAGTTCTGTTTTCACATGTGTGATTCACATAACTTGTGCTGACTAAGCATGTAATTCTCCAGGTGCTGGACCATGCCATTGAGACAGAGAAGATGATTGATAAGTATGAGACACTTTCTTCAGACCTGTTAACATGGATCGAACAGACCATCGTTATCCTGAACAATCGCAAACTCGCCAACTCTCTCTCTGGCGTCCAGCAACAGCTGCAGGCCTTCAACTCCTATCGTACAGTGGAGAAGCCTCCCAAGTAAGAGCACCAACACCTTAGCTGCCCTTTTTTAATTTTATCTTGAAGATAACTTCTAATTACTTCACATTAACTCTCAATTTAAAGATTTCAAGAGAAGGGCAACCTTGAAGTGCTGCTCTTCACCATCCAGAGCAGAATGAGGGCCAACAATCAGAGAGTTTATACCCCTAAAGAAGGTGCACTGGTGTCAGACATCAACAGGGTGAGGCACAGTTCCAGCAATAACAAATGTCTTTAGGTTTCATGACAGCCCTGTAAAATTATACTATGGCAACATCAGTCATACCTCAGACTGCACAGCACTGTTCTTGAGTGCATTAAGTGTTTATCACTTGGCCTAGGCATGGGAGAGACTTGAGCGGGCTGAACATGAAAGAGAGCGTGTACTGAGAGATGAGCTCATCAGACAAGAAAAGCTGGAGCAAATGGCCCGCCGCTTCGACAGGAAGGCTGCCATGAGAGAAACCTGGCTGATAGAGAACCAGAGACTGGTATCACAGGTAAGTTTTATGATGCACAAATGTTACTTGGTCAAATGGAGATGAGTTTGTATTGTATGTATTGTATTGGCCCTCAGAACTTCATACTTACATCGCTAAGAGCTGGCAAATGATGTAAAAACTGAAAATGTATCAAAAGTAAGCACATTAACAAAACTCTGTGTCCGTATGTCACAATCCAACAGTGTGTGATGTACATTTTCTTTTGAAGGACAATTTTGGGTATGATCTTCCAGCAGTAGAGGCAGCAAAGAAGAAGCATGATGCCATAGAGACAGACATTGCTGCATATGAAGAACGTGTGCAAGCCTTGGTAGCCTTGTCTAAAGAGCTGGAAACAGAGAAGTACCACGATGCTAAACGCATTGATGCAAGAAAAGATAACATTCTGAGGTTATGGGACTACCTCCAGGAGCTTTTAAGTGCTCGCAGGGGCCGTCTGGAGAAAAATCTCACCCTGCAGAGGATCTTCCAGGAGATGCTTTACATCATAAATTGGATGGACGAGATGAAGGTACAAACACACTAGTGCTGGTCTGCTACATTACTGTGTCAGATTATTCTGGCAAAAATCTCATTTTAATGCTCAGACGTATTTTTAGGTTTTAGCGTCTCTATTTTGTTTGTAACTTAACTGTTGTTTTTCCTCAGGGTCGTCTCTTGTCTCCTGACTTTGGGAAGCACTTGCTGGAGGTGGAGGACCTTCTACAGAAGCATGCTTTGGTGGAGGCAGACATTGCTGTGCAGGCAGAGAGAGTGCGCTCTGCAAATGCAGCTGCTCTCAAGTTTGCCAATGGAGACAGTGAGTAGAACAGACCTTTTAAATGTTTACTTTTATTCCTAACTCACATGCTGTTAGCATCAAGATTGTTGCCTTGTAATTTATTTAGTTGTGGTAGGTATAAAACACTTAAACCTAGCTTAGATTTTGTGTATTTAAATGATTACAAACCTCAGTTCTAAAAAAGTTGAAAGCAGTGATTAATACATTTAGTTTGACCTGTATTAAACTGAAAACACAAACATGATGTTTGATATTTTACCATATGATTTTTATTGTCTTGTTTTTTGTGAGCACATCTCAAAAAACAGAACAAGGGCATATTCATATCCCATTTCCTTTTTGCAGCAGTTATTAATCAGTTGGGGACTAACGACACCAGTTGATTCAGTTTTGAAAGTGGGAGTTTTTTTAAATTCTTCTGTTATCTAAGTCTTTATCTTTGCAACCATATGGGGCCTTAATTGTTGTATTTGGAGTGCAGGTAGGCCAGTTCAGTACCCACACCATGTAATTATGCATCCATGCTGTTGTAACCAACACAGAATGCTGAAATAAGCATTTACATGTCTAAAAAAGATGTAGTCTAGAAGTATTCCCGAGCCCATGTGGTGATGTCCATGACACAAACATGCTGGTTTTTAATGCAGTGCAATGTGAAGGAGGTCACACAAATTCAATTATGTTTTTTTTAGCCATGCACAGGGATTTCCCCGGGTTCCCTGAATTTTTTGATGATATGCACTCGCTTGTTGGGGAACACTGTTTTTAAATTGTATTATTCGCTGATGCATTTTTTGGCAAAGTAGAGAGCCTTGACCCATCTTTGCTCATATAAGACGAAACCTCACCTTGATGCTCCTTTTTTCCCAAGCATGACTGCATTCTTAAATTGCCACATCTCAAAAAACAATGAAGCTGATAAGGTAAAACATTAAATACCTTATATTTGTACTGTTTACATTTGAATATAGGTCAAGGTGGATTCACAACTACTATATGTTTTTATTTGAATTTCACATACTGTCCCATTTTTTAAGGTTTATAACATAATTGTAGCATAATTGTAAAATATTCCATAAAATATTCCATTTGCATTTGGACTAATTATTGCTATCTGCCTCCCTGACCAGCCTACAAACCTTGTGACCCACAAGTGATTCGAGATCGGGTACAGCACTTGGACCTTTGCTATCAGGAATTGTGTGCGCTCGCTGCCCAGCGCAAGGCCCGCTTAGAGCAGTCTCGTCGTCTCTGGAACTTCTTCTGGGAGACTGCAGAGCTGGAAAGCTGGATCCGGGAAAAGGAGCACATCTTTTCTTCTCTCGACTACGGCAAGGACCTGACCAGTGTGCTGGTTCTGCAGAGTAAACACAGTGCCTTTGAAGATGAGCTGGGGGCCCGGCGTGAACACCTGAAGCAGGTGATGGGTGAGGGTGAGAGTATGGTGAAGGCCAAACACTTTGGTGCTCCCAAGGTGCAGCAGCGCATGGATGACGTACAGAGACAGTGGCAGCAGCTGGAGGAACTGGCTGCTTTCCGCAAGCAGAACCTCCAAGACACCCAGCGTTTCTTCCAGTTCCAGGGTGATGCTGATGACCTTAAGGCCTGGTTGTTGGATGCTATGCGGCAGATGAACAGCGAAGACGTTGGGCATGATGAGTACACCACACAGAGACTACTAAAGAGGCATTATGCCCTGAGAGATGAAGCAGCTAAGAATGGGGCCACCATTGACGCTCTGAACAAACAGGCCAATTCACTGCCTGAGGAGCTGAAGAATACACCAGACATCCAAAGGCGTCTGAAGGACATCAAAGATCTGTACATGGAGCTGCTCTCTCTCTCAGATCTACGGCAGAAGAAGTTGGATGACACTATGGCATTGTACACCATTTTCAGTGAGACAGATGCTTGCGAGCTCTGGATGGGTCAGAAAGAGACATGGCTTGTGGGACTAGAAACACCCGAGAAATTAGAAGATCTAGAGGTGGTTCAGAACAGGTACATTATTTTCTATGTTTGAAACATCTTAGGGTTGTAATGTGACAAGTGTACACTGGTGGAGGGACATTAAGCGCTTCTATTCTAATAATATAGGGGCATTGTTGAGAGTCATGCCATTCCAATTCCAGCAAGCACAAAACTGTGGAAGATTATTTACTGATGCAGTTTTCTCACATGGATAATTTCTCATTTGTTGTTAGGTTAAGCATCCTCGCTCAAGAAATGGGCAACATGCAGACAAGGGTAGACAATGTCAACAAAGCAGCCAAGCAACTAGAGGACAGCAGACACCCACGAACAAAGGAGGTGAAAGATTGTCAAGCTCGTCTCAATAAGAGGTAAGAGCAGCTACCTACGAATTGATTTTCAAGTTATGTTCGGTCAATTTAGGTGCACCACAAACTTTGATGTGTCATCTGCTCCCCTTTGCAGGTGGGAGGCCTTTAAGGCAATGGTGGAAGATAAAAAGCATAAGGTAGATTCAGCGCTCAGTCTCCACAACTATGGGCTTGAATGCGATGAGACAGGGGCATGGATCAAGGACAAAACACGAGTCATCGAGTCCACACAAGACCTTGGGAATGACCTGGCTGCAGTAATAACCATCCAAAGGAAGCTCTTTGGAATAGAGAGAGACCTGGCTGCTATTCAGGATAAGCTGGACTTCCTGGATGGTGAGGCCCAAAAGCTTGCAAAGGATCATCCAGAGCATGCCGCTGACATCCGGGCCCGACAAGCAGAGCTAGACACAGCTTGGAATACTTTGAAGCACACGCTAAAGGACCGAGAGGACTCTCTGGGTGAAGTCAGCAAGCTCCAAACCTTCCTGCAGGATATGGATGATTTCCAAGCCTGGCTTTTCAAGACTCAGAAGGCTATTGCATCTGAGGAGATGCCTACAAGTCTCTCAGAGGCAGAGGAGCTCCTGAGCCTCCATGATGCAGTGAAGGGAGACATGGATGGCCATGAAGAGGACTACCACCGCGTAAGAGACACTGGAGCAGCTGTAACTCAAGGCCAAGAAGACGATCCTCAGTACCAGCAACTGGAGCAGAGGCTAAAGGGCCTGGACAAGGGCTGGGATGAGCTACACAAAATATGGGACAGCCGGAAAAACTTTCTGGACCAGGGTCTAGGCTTCCAGCAATTCTTGAGAGATGCAAAGCAAGCTGAAACCATCTTGAACAACCAGGTGAGGATGTTGCTGGTCTTTTTCTTTACATTCCAGATTAATTTGTGGTGAAAACTTAAACCCACAATCTTATCTATATTTCCATTTACTAGGAGTACACTCTAGCCCACTTGGACCAGCCTGACACCCTGGATGGGGCAGAAAAGGCCTTGAAGAAGCATGAGGACTTTGTCACCACCATGGATGCTAACAAGGACAAGATAGCGACTACACTAGAAGGAGGTCAGAGGCTAGTGAACAGTGGAAACCTTTACTCAGCAAAGGTGCAGGACAAGATGAACTCCATCCAAGACAGGTCAGAGCATTTAAATAATTGTTCTGCTAAGTATATGCAGTGTTTCCTGTTTTAAATTCAACGACAGACACACAAATAAAAAGTGCCACAAGTCTGTGGCACATTTTATATGTTTTATTTTTTTAACAATTTGTTAAACTCAGCAAATAAATAGAAATTGTGCACTAAAATTAGCAGAAAAAAAATCCATAATTAAGTTTGTTCCTTGTAGAGGATGTGTTAACTTAAAAAAAATTTACTTACAAAATCAACAAAACATGTAATTTCACCAGGGTTGTTCAGACTTTTGCATATGACTGTATTCTATGTGTTAAATAGCATTAACTTTAAGGTACGTGGATTTACATTAAGGGGTTCTTGATCAATCAATGCAATTGACATTTTTTTATTTAGGTCAAATGTTTTAGGTAATTATCAAGTCCTTTATTAGCAGAGTCAGATATGATGAAACAGCTTAAACACAATGTGGGTCCACAAGAAAAAAAATTTGATTTACACATTATTTGTTCATTTCTTTATTGTTTAAGCTCAGCTATACAAAGAGTATTGCAGAAAGCATTGTAAAACTCAGTTAGCAGAGCAGTATTTCTCAGTCCCAGCACTCCAGGAATAGGGAAACGAGGGCCGGAGTTCAGTACAGTTTGGTGATTTATGTGTTCTGACACAAAAACTAAATCTGATGAGTTAAATCAGGTGTGTCTGAGCAGGAAGGAAAATCATCAAACGTCAGGAACCGGCAGGAACCCACCCCTGCAGTACCGGAATCTTCCTGTTTCCCTTGCCCTAATGCACTTGTTTCAGCTCACTGGCATTAAATTTTTATACCACATGTATTAGCTGAATTGGGGTTGCTAGTACGGAGACAATAACCAAGAGTTACAGGACTGGATTTGAGAATCATTTTTATAAAGAAATACTGCTTTGGAAGTGTCCATTAGCATTTCCTTCAGCATCTAGGGTTAGTGAGATTACTTAGAGGGTGCTGGCTCTGTTGACTGTTGCTATGTCAGCACTGAAACAGAAGCAATAGGCAGTAGAGGGGAAGCCTATATTTTCTCCATAAGTGGAAGGCGTCTGCTGTAGTAAGAGATGGGCGCCTGCTCTGATGGGTATTGATCTCGTAGTAAGAGTGCACCTCTGTGAGAGCAGAGCATTGCTCTGTAAACAGTGAAACCTCTTCACTGTGAGTCTGGAACAGTACAGTGAGGTTACATAAGAAGGTAAAACTATGTTTTTTTATTTGTCTGCTCTGGAAAAGTGCCATTAACAAACCTGTATGCGTGTGTATTTTTGCAGACATGAGAAGAACCAAGACAAAGCAAAGGAAGTCTCTGGGAAACTCAAAGACAACAGAGACCTGCAGCACTTTCTTCAGAACACTCAAGATGTGAGTCAAATTTCTTTTTGCAAAGTTAATGAATTTGCATGTAAACAGTTTCAAGCTTTCAGTCCTAATTAAATATTCTCACTGTACTTTTAACATGCATGATTCCTATCTCTGTTTTTCTCAGCTTACTCTCTGGATAAATGAAAAGATGCTGACTGCTCAGGACACCTCCTATGATGAGGCTCGCAATCTCCACAGCAAATGGCAGAAACACCAGGCCTTCATGGCTGAGCTGGCATCCAACAAGGACTGGCTCAACAACATTGATCAGGTATATGACTGAGCTTAATGTCACATACTGGTCACAAATGCCGCAAATCCATCCTGTTCCAGTTCTGCTATTCAGAGCCTTGGAATGTAACTTTAGAACATGACCTCTAAATGTTGTCTACATATTTAGGAGGGTGAAGAGTTGATGGCATCCAAGCCGGAATTTGAGCCCATTGTGAGGGAACGTCTGGCTAAACTTCATGAGTTGTGGGACAAGCTGGAACAGACCACAGAGGAGAAGGCCCGACTCCTGTTTGATGCTAACCGCTCTGAGCTGTTCGATCAGAGCTTGGCTGACTTGAAGAAGTGTCTTGGTAATCTGCAGCAGCAGCTCCAGGGCGATGTGGATGAAGAGGTTAAAGATCTCACCAGTGCTAATATCCTGCTTAAAAAGCACCAGGTATATATTCATGTTTGTCTTTCAATAAATAAATAATTTATCTTACATTGATATATTTAGAAGACACTCTTATTCCACTGTGACATTGTTGAGCAAATTTAGTGTTGGGAGTCTTGCACAATGATTCTTACTTTTACGGCAGTAATTGAGAAATCAAACCTTCAGTCATCCTCGTCCTGTATTTTTTAATCACAGGCAGTTATTTATACTGTTGATGTATCTGATACCTAACACCTAGTATCAAACCTACGAGTGATTAGAAAATCAATAAAAGTTACAGAAGTTGAAAACCTCTGCACTATGCTAGTCCTTTCTCCTTCTCTGATGACATTTGTTTGTTTTATTTCTCCTTTCTGACTCTTCTTTCATGTCTTTTAACTTGACCCCGTGCTTCTGCAGTTGACCGAGAATCAGGTTAGAGATCGGGCACGGGAACTTGAGGAGCTGCAGGAGGCTGTGCAACAGCATGCCCCCTTAAGAGAAGACCAGCCTGAGCTGGAGGTCGAGCTACAGGCCCTTCAGGGTGACTTTCAGCAGATTCTTACACCTCTGGCCCAACGTAAAGGCAAACTGGAGGCAGCCAAAGCCGTGCATCAGTTCTACAGAGACCTGGCAGATGAAATAGTAAGTTCGAATTTACCGCCACAGGATCATCTGCTCATTTTAAGAGACACTCGCTTGACCTTTTCTTTTGTTGCTCTCTGTGTTTTAGCTCTGGGTTGAGGAGAGACTGCCCATGGCCATGTCACAAGAACATGGAAACAATCTTCAAACAGTCCAGCTTCTCCTGAAGAAAAATCAGGTGAACTACTTCTTTCAGTTCCATACATTTCGCTTCGTTCTGCCATGCTTTTAGACCACAGCACAGTGTTTTTCAGTAGCTTAGCTTTTGATCTTGTCTACATTAACCATCCTTGTCCCAGCACAGACTCTCCAGAAGGAGATTGAAGGTCACCAGCCACGTGTTGATGAGGTGCTGGAGCGCGGTCGGCGTATGATGGCAGCTGCAGCAGGAAGTCCAGAAGCAGAGCACATGTCTGAGGAAATTAAGAAGTTGGAGGAGGTGTGGGCACGACTGCAGGATGAAATGGAAAAGCGTCGGGCTCGGCTCAATGGCTCCAACAAAGCCCAGCAGTACTACAACGATGCAGATGAAGCTGAAGCCTGGATCGGCGAGCAGGAACTCTACATGATTGCTGATGAGAAAGCAAAGGTGAGCCTGTTAAGGAAGAGGAGACTGCTACCTGTAAGACAGCATATATGATTTGATTGATTGGCTATTTTTTGTGAACATTGTTATTGGATTGCTTTGAAAACGTACAGTATCTTTTCTATCTACATATCTAATTGCATAAAATTAGAAAAAAGTACTTGCTTAAATGTACAGATGAAAGTATTATGAGTACTACATCATTTTAATTTGATAAACAAATTCTAGTAAGTAGACCTGTTTCACTGCAGATAAGAAGAACTCAGTTTGCTCTTCATGCTGGCAACCTCACAGGTCTACTTAACCGAACCTCAAAATAGTATAACATAATTTGTTAATAATACAACATAATAATAAATATAACCCACTATACTTTTACTTTTAGTACATTTAAAAGCAAGTACTTTTGTATTGTTTCTCAAGCAGAAATGTAGATAGAATACTTCTACCTTCACACAGTAATATTTTACCTGTAGTATTTCTACTTTTATAGTACAGAAAGTACGGATGTTTTGTACTTTGTTCATCCCTAAAACTAATATCCATCAGTGCAAAGCAGTGCTAAAATCTAAAAATACCAGTTGATATCTAAAAATATTTCAATCTAAATTGTTATCAAATAAAAAAGCAAACTGATTAATATTACCAGTGGTTAAAAATAGGGATGCATTAGTCATGAATTTTTATGGCCAATTCCAGTTTTTTTAACAGCTAAATTGGCCGTTGGCTGATTTTTTAAGTGGAGTAACTGCATTCAAATATAGTGCAAGTACAACCTGAATGATTGTGTGTTTGGGCCAAAATAGCAGATCTTGGCTGATTTGTTACAGACCTTTAAAAGGTAGCACATGCTTTAAAGATCACTCTTCATTATCTTCCTTGCTCTGTAGGATGAGCAGAGTGCTATGGTCCTGCTGAAGCGGCACTTGATTCTGAAGCAAACTGTGGATGACTATGCAGACTCCGTCCAGCAGCTGGCTGATCGTGCTCAGAAGATGTTGGCTGAGGAGCATCCAGAAGGGTGTGCTGGGCTGATGGCAGTTTTAGCTATGAAGTAATCCCTAACAAAAGGCATGTTACAATTTCTTGATTTACATTTCATGTCTTTCTCTGCAGGGAGGCCATCATCAGGAGACAGGGTCAGGTGGATAAACAGTACGCAGGGCTGAAGGAGCTGGCTGAAGACCGAAGGAAGAAACTCGACCACACCTACCATCACTTCCTGCTAAGCCGGGAAGTGGAGGATCTGGAGCAATGGATTGCTGAGCGTGATGTGGTGGCTTCATCACAGGAGATGGGCCAGGACCTTGACCATGTCACGGTACTGCAGAACACACAAAGTCACACAAACCGTGATCCAAGACATATAGGAATTACACCTCATACCTATATGTATTAATAATCAGAATGCATTTGATTCGTATTTCAAAGGTGCTGGTCAGATTTCAAGGCTGACTAGGTATAACTTACCTTTTGAGCAGTAGTGTATGCTATTACCTATTTTCTTTCACTCACGTTTGCATCACATGACTGTTTGAATGTCCCTCAGATCCTGCGGGATAAGTTCAGGGAGTTTGCAAGGGAGACAGGAACTGTGGGACAAGAGCGGGTGGATGCTGTGAATCAGATCATTGATGAGCTGATAGAGGCTGGCCACAGTGAGTCAGTTACCTTGGCTGAATGGAAGGATGGAGTGAACGAGAGCTGGGCGGATCTCTTGGAGCTCATCGACACCCGAAACCAGCTCCTCACTGCTTCTTATGACCTTCTTAAGTGAGTTATCTGTCAAGGTTTCATCGACCCAGTGTTTCATTTCGCATCTATCCAGTGCGTAATACAGATAACAAAAGAATAACAAGTTCACTTTCCTTTGTATCCACTGTATATTGCGGCCATGGAATGGAGAAGTACAGAAGAATAAATTATTACCTGTCACCTTGTCCAGGTACTTCTATGATGGGAAGGAGCTGGTGGTTCAGATCAATGAGAAACAGAATGAGCTTCCTGAAGATCTGGGAGAGGATTTCAGTAAAGCAGAGTCTTTCCATCGCATGCATGCTGCCTTTGAAAGAGACATCAGCACTCTGGGCAAACAGGTAAAGCAAGTACTGAATACTTGGATTACCTTAGCATCCTTACCATTTACCCCTCTTTCCTTTTTGCCTCAAAAATCCTGAATAAGATTTGATAAGGATAAAGGTTTTTGATTTTGATTGCAACTAAGAAAGAACTAGTACGTTTAGCTGACTGGTAATGTAAGAGGAAGGCAGTCTGTAAACATCTTAAAAAATAAACATTATAATATTTGCTGGATTCTAAAATGAACAGAAAAATTGAGGTGATGAAGTGAGGCTAACATCTGTTATCTTTGAGATAGGATCACAGAGTAACTATGTAGTAGCATTGTAGTAGGAAGACTGACAAAAACCCATATATAGAGAATTACAGTAATCCAAGCAAGATAGCACCAGTGCATGTTTCAACTTATCCATATCAGATGTATATCAAATGTAAAGTCTCTTTTTCTCTTTGTATATTTCTGTCTGCAGGTACACCAGTGCCAGGAGACAGCAGCTCGTCTGTTTGCCCAGTATGCTGGGGACCAGGCTGTTGCCATCCAGACAACAGAGAAGGAGGTGGTAGATGCCTGGAAGGGTCTACTTGCTGCCTGCGCAGGAAGGCGGAAACAGCTAGAGGAGACAGCCAGCAAGTTCCGCTTCTTCACCATGGTTAAGGACCTAATGGCATGGATGGAAAGCATCATCCAGCAGATAGAAACCCTAGAGAAACCAAGGTGAGAAGGAGGTCCTGCAGGAGAAGAATAAACTGAGTTTTGTTACAAAGTGTCTAGACATGGCACCGTTCCGATAACTTGGCAGTTATCAGCAGAAAATCCTGGATCAGATATCGGAGGGAGAAAAAGAATGAATCTGATTTAACCCTGTAACAAATCTTCAGTTGTGTGAGCATGATAGCCTACTTATAGGTGGTTAAACAAAGAGCTTCAGTTAAAAATAACTTTTTAAAAAAACATAGTAGTTTTTACAGAAATACTGGAATCAGCTGATAGAAAAGGTTTCAATATCAGTATCATTATTGGTAAAGAAAAAGTAGAATTGTGCCATCTTTAAAAATGTCATGCATCACCTGAACTTCTAATTGAGTTTGTCCTGTTCACAACTCTAGAGATGTGTCATCAGTGGAGTTACTAATGAAGTATCACCAAGGGATCCGTGCAGAGATTGTGACTCGAGAGCCAAAGTTCAATGATTGTGAGGTGCTAGGTCGGACCCTCCTGGCACGGAAACACAAAGACTCAGATGAGGTGAGAAGACAAAGAACAGTGTTTGGGCTTACTTGTTAGAGGAATGTCCAGAAGCTGTGATTTGTTCATTGCGTTTTTGTCATGTCTGTCTTTTGTCCCACCTGTCTTTTATAGATCAAAGAGAAGCTGATTCAGCTGAAAGAGAAGAAGGAAGAAATGTTATGGAAGTGGGACAGCACATGGGACTGCCTTAGCCTGAGTAGGTGTTCACTGAGACCCTATTTACACGTGGTCACTTCATGCGTCTTAAGTATCAGGATTATATCTGGATAAGGCCAAGCCACATAAAAATGCAAGTGTAAACACACCCAAGACACAGATACAAATCTGATCACTCAAATCACTTCAGGAGGTGGTCTGAGACATATTTGGGCCACATCTTATAGCAGTGTAAACGCATTCTTCTCCCCAATACACATTCAACAACCAAAACCCCTCCCAGTACAACGGAAACTCCTCCCCTTGCAGTACGTCACTGATTCATGTCTGCAAGGAGGATAATCATGGAGGGCACAAATAGTTGGGGACTGGACAAAATAAAATGCTTAATAGCAATATGGACAGACACTACTGTGCAAAACAAACTGTAGATGAAGAGGCTGAAAGGATAAACAATTGGTTGCCACGTAACGAGGGGATTTGCATATTATGTCCCACACAGCAATTTGATTTCAGTTCAACTAACCAGAGATGCATTTAACTACCAAGTGTAAATGCATGTGTACTTATCAGTATACAATCCAGATACTAGTTACATGAAGTGACCAGGTGTAAACAGGTTCTGAGTTATACCCACAAGCATCATCACATACAATTACACTTCACTCGTAAAGTACAGTTCCCCAAGTTACAGTACTGTCTCCCCCTAGTGTTGGAGGTGTGCCAGTTTGCTCGGGATGCATCTGTGGCAGAGGCCTGGCTGGTAGCTCAGGAGCCATATGTGGCCAGCAGGGACCTCGGCAAGACCGTAGATGAGGTGGAGAAGCTCCTCAAGAGGCACGAGGCCTTTGAGAAGTCCACTGCAGCCTGGGAGGAGCGCTTCTCTGCACTGGAGCGCCTGACAAGAGTAAGGGAATTAGTGCTATGTGTATATGGTTGTCATTAGCTTTTCAGGCAGTTTTTTATAAATGTCGGTTTGCAATAACTTAACATATCAAACAGAAAGCTGCTTAAATCTTCTCTTTGCGGAAACTGCTAAACTGAAGAAACAAACAAGTTCTACTTTGGGAATACTGAATCATGTTTTAAACAAAATCTACCTTACTAAATGTTGAATGAAGAAGGCAAGGTGTCTTCAAACTGTGTGAGACAGTGTTCATGCACATAGTTATTGGGTATTGTTTTGTCCTAGCTTGAGATTAGAAAGTATCGTGAAGAAATGCAGCAGTACAGAGATGAAGAGGAAAAGGACAGCAGGTAACATCAAATACAAGACACATCTTTACAGTTCATGCTCCAGGCCTCAGTTTTACCTTATTGACCCATAACTCTGGCCCACAGGAAGGAAGACACAGGCTTTGCAGAGGAGTCTTCACAACTCTACACAGTAGAGGAACCGTCTCTGGTTAGTTCACAAAGATTCTAATCATCTTTCTACTCCATTTCACTCCATTTTCATTTTTTTTATGATTTGATTAGATTTTTGATATTTCACATGTTAAAAATATCTCGATTCTACAGTTCCAATGATATGCTGGTCCAGCTCAGAAAAATACAGATTTTATTTCAAAATGAAGGATTGCAATGTAAGATTTCAGTTTGTTGCACTGTTTCTGCCATATAGGAACCACCTTTCAATAGATGATTCTTTTAAAATCTGTTTTTGGCTCCACAAACAATCTTCATAAAATGTTCTTAAAATGACAGGCGTAGAGATTAAGCATTGAATTTTCTACACTTTATGTGAAATGACATAGGTGTACATTTATAATATACAATATTTATGATATAAATGAGAATAACCTTTTTAAAGTTAATTAACCCCTTTCAGCACAAAGGAACCTTTCACATAATGTGCATTTTCTGTACCAACAAGATCTGTACACCCAAGCCAAGAACCATTTTGGAAATTAACTTTTAAGATTGTGGCTGTTGAATTTTATGTTGGATGGATCAATAGAGATTTCATAGAGAAAATCTTTAATATTGTTTTTAATGATATAAGCAGACATTAAATTAATAATGTTTTCTGTTTCTCAGTTAAATTGATCATTTTGAAGACATTATAGGTTTTCTTCAGAAAATGATATATAACATACTGTTCTCTTTTTCAGTGTTAAATTTCCCAAGCTTTTCCTTTACTTTGCATATTTAATTTTGTGTTTTTGTTTAGTCTGGCATTGCAGCAGTGGAGCCCAGCTCAGGTCACGGTGATGGCACCGCAGGAGATTCGACAGTGCCCATCATTTCAGAAATTCAGGAGAGTGGCTCCTTGGAACTGGACCCAATCACAGACCCATCCATCCAGGTCACCAAGGAGACTGAGCGAGCTGCCACTCTCCCTGTGGAGCCTCCACGACCTCAGGCAACCCTGCTGGAGGGAACACTAGCACGTAAACATGAGATGGAGGGACCCAATAAAAAGGCATCTAACAGGTGATTGATTTTAATCTGACATCAGTTTTGTTGGGTTTGAACTATTTTTTCTAAAAATGTTATAAAAAATTGAGGATACTGTAGCCAAAAATGAAGCCATCATCAGGGGAAATTCACTGATTTTGTAATTTTTTTGCATTATGAAATGTTCAAGATGTAAACAAGGTCAGTCAGAGTGGTTTAATGTGAACTCAGAATTGTTCACAGTAGTGGTGAATGGAACCAGACAACAAGCTTTTTAAAGCCAACTTGCAGAGGTTTTTGAAAAACCTCTGAACTGAATTTCCCCTTTAATTTGCATTTGTGATGCATCTTAATGCAGATTTTGTCACCTATTCTCTTGTCTCAGGTCCTGGAACAACATCTACTGTGTGTTAAAACCTGGGCAGCTCTGGGCCTACAAGGATGGCAAGAGCTACAGCCATGGTGTCACATTCCATGGTGAAGACCCGCTGTCACTCAGCAATGCCACATGTGAGGTGCTGACCAGTTACAAAAAGAAGAAACAGGTGTTTAAATTATGGTAAGAATATCAGTATTTGTTACGGCTTAAACCAGTATTATCATTATTTATTATCATTATTGATGCTATTTTCTAATGTCCTCAGATTCTTGCTAAAGAATTAAAAGAATTAAAAAGTTAAAGGGGAATTCCACCAAATTTTCCAAATTTTTGCCCATTCAATTGTTGTAAATAATTGAGAATGTTTTGATGTGAAGTTGTTCATAGTGGTGATAAGAACAAGGGGTCACTATGTCTACAGTGCAAATATAGCCATTTAACCGTAGGTAACAACACATATGGACTAACAGATCTTTGTGATTACTCAGGTGTATTTAATTGCTTCATTAGTGCAGGTATAAGAGAGCTTTCATCATTTAGTCTTCATAATAAGCTTTTGGTTACCTTTAGCTTTTGCTATTTGTCAGCATGAAGACCAGAGTTGTGCCAGTGAAAGTCAAGGAAACCATTAGAAGGCTAGCCAAGCCTTAGGCTTACTAAAATGTTTGGAACATTATTAAGAAGAAAGAGAGAAATGGTGAGCTTAGTGACCATAAACGAACTGGTAGGCCAAGGAAGACCTCCACAGCTGATGACATAGCATAATGAAGAAAAATCTCTATACCCCTGACCAACAGACCAGAAACACTCTTCAGGAGTCAGGTGGGGATTTTTCAATGACTACTGTCCACAGACAACTTCATGAACAGAAATACGAAATGGAATGAATACCCAAATAGTTAGTTGTGTATCCAGACACTGCCACCTCAAATGGTTGATCGAGGGCTCGAGCACCCTTGAAGCGTCACAAAGGCCTTGCTAATGTGTTTTGTTGTTAATGAGGTAAAAGGCTACATTTTGTACACTGTGACCAACACTGTGACCACTGACTGTTCGCTCTTCTCTGTATTTCTTAGGCTTGGAGACGGCAGTGAGTACCTGTTCCAGTGTAAAGATGAGGTCAGTTTTTTTCTCAAAGCATGACGATTTCACTCATCTTTCGGTCACTTAAATGTAATCCCAGTCAAATTTTCAGCAGAGCCAGTAACATCTTTTAACTGTGCAATGTGTTCTTCCACAGGATGAGCTGCAGACATGGACTCAGGCCATAGAGAAGGCAGCACAGCCTGATACAGAGGAACCAGTGGCAGGACCCTCACAGCCTCGAGCCCGGAGCCTACCCCCACCGTCCTCCTCCACCATGCCAGAAGCCCCCTCTGCCAAGAAGGACAAGGAGAAGAGGTTCAGTTTATTCACCAAGAAGAAGTGAGGGGAGCCCCAACACTCCAGGACCTCAAAAAGAACAAAACACGTAGGACACAGTGGGCAGGTGGAGAAAAGAAGAGTTTTTTAAACATTATATTCATTTGTATGATTGAAAATGTCACTCCTGCCTGTATGTAAGCCAGTGAACTGTTGTGAAGGTCCATGTTTTCTTTACTTTTACTCTTTTCCCCTAAAATAGATACCAGATTCACATTGTATCCAAATAAAAGCACCAGAATGCTGTTTTCACACTTCAACCAAAGATTGTAAATTTTTTTCTCTTTTGTTTTCATTACTTGATCTTCTTCTGAGCATGCTTTCTTTATATTATGTAGTATATTTTAATCACATAATAAGCATTTTTTTGTCAATCTGCCTTACTCTTCCAGATAATGGTTGCGAAATGTGATACTGTGCTCTTTTGTGTTGGAACTTGTAGAATTTACATAGAATTGGACATTAGAGAGTTTGTTGTAAGCCATACAGAGGTTTAGTTGTGAGGTTTGGTTTATACACTGTACACTACTGTATAGAATCAGCACAAATGCAGTAAGCACAGTGGTCAGTGTGCATTATTATTTTTCAAGTATTAACAGTGGCTTTATTTTCCATTATGGTAATAATAATGGAATTAGGATTGGTATAATAGAGTAATATGCTTGTAAGGCAGAGGATGAAGGGGTACTAAATATTCTCTTAAACCTCCAGTATGCCTAAACATATGTTTTTAATGCATGAACGGATGTGTTTATTTAATATGGTGCTACGTGATTACATACCATGTTTTACCCTCTCATACCTCTCAGGCTCTTTGGTTTGTGGATCTCTAATCTCGATTGGCCAGTGCTGTTACTACAGCTGACAAAAGCGTAAACCGGTCTCGTTTTCATCACAAACATATTAATATCACATTATGTAAAGTTATGCAAATGTAGTATTTGGTCTGTGCCATTCAGCCAATGAAACACAGCAGTCCTCCCATTGCAGTTACTCAGAATGTACCTGGAAAGAATGTGTAAAGTCAGTATGAATGTAATACGAGAGGAAGCAAAGTCAAAGGAAAGGAAAGGAAAACATATCTTTAGTCAAATCCAACAGGGATACAGAATTTTGTATAGAAAAAAATGTAAAATTCTCAGACAGTTGATCATAAATACTTGTAAATCACATCTATATTTAGTGCATAACAATTGTTAAGAATATGTATAATATCTTGTGTCATTAATGATAAGATCTGAGCTGGCTGAAATGCTTCTTCTTATGTGTTTCAGTCAGCACCCCTCAGTGTACTAAACCTGCTTAACACTCACTCCGTACCGTGGGCTGCCCAGTCAGTACATTTTAGGTCAGTTTTAACACGCTCTTGATTCTTCTGTCTTCCTGGTAAACAGAATGGGTTTCTAACAGGGTTGGTGTGATTATTAAAAGGTCTGTTAGAAACACTCTAGTATTGGAACATATATTGTGTGATCCATGTCTGTGTCACTCACTTCAGGGTTGATCTATCTTTTCCACTTTCTCTTCTCTCCTTTCATATTTGCATACTCAGTGCAGAAACCTTTACAGTAAGGCCAAGTATGAAGAGAGGAACTTTGCAGAATCAATAAACTCTTTGTTTGCAGTCGAGTTTGTCATTTGTTTGGTGTTCAGAATACATTGAAAGTCACATTCACTCATATGTAAAAATATTTTTGTTTATATCAAATGTTTTATATGTTCCTATCATTTTCCAAAAGCTGCTACTGTATCAAGCTTTAGTTTGATTTGGTGGTAAGACATGCCAAATCTATGGAAACCTGTTCTCACCAGGTAGAGGAGAAAACATTGCTAGGGTTTATTTTTCTCCTTCTGTTTCTGGCAGCAGTATATCACATTTTGACTTTGTGTCTTAAAATAATTACTTATTTTCTCCAAATATGCACAAAGTATCTTGAAAATAATCGCTTATTTCTCTGGATGTTGATTTATTGAAGTGAAATCCCAACATACTGTGTCAAAATAATGAGAAAATATTAGATAATTAAATATTTACGTCATTATTTTGACTTAGTATGTCAAAATGCAGTGAAAATACGTCATTATTTTGAGATACTAAATGATAACTGACATAATAATTCAAAATTTCAAGGAAATCAGTAATGTCAAGAAAATGTCATTATTTCAACATAGTAACTCAAAATTTAAAAAAAGTTATGTGTAACATTTTGAGAAAATTAAATATTTCAGAATACTACATTATATACAGTAAATCAAAAGTTTGAGAAAACCAGTCTTTATTTTAACATTGTAGCTCAATATTACTTTGCAAAATTAATTGAGAAACAATGTCATTCATATGAGATATTAAGTTGTTATTTTGGGGTATTCATTCAAAGTTTCAACATTCTGCTTCCAGAAACTACAATTTTTTTTCTCTTCTCCTTGGTGGGGATGGCTTTTTATTCCATACCAATGTGTGGTGTTTTTTTTTCCCACAAACATTCATCCACAAAAATATCTTTTATTAAATTAGGAGTACAGTAATTAAAATAAATGCATTAAAATAACATTGAATTCATGAGGTAATTACAAAATACTTCATCAAGAGAGCACTACCACTTGTCAACCCAGTCCTAGTGTTCTGGGGGCCCATGAGACAGACTGCTTTATCCAAGCCCCCAGTACAGCTAAACAAGGCCACTAAATACACTAAATACCTGGTACTGGTGTACTGGCAGCCAGCTTAGACATGCACACTAGCAGAGAGCAGAATTAGTGTGGAGGGGGCAATTAAGGTCATTATTTGGCTGGGACGTGAACGTGGACGGTCTGGTTGGCCCTGAGGACTAAAGAGTAAAGATTAAACAGCAGAGGGAGCAACTGAGCTAAAACGTGGAGATTCAGTGGTCCGCAATACAATTTGATCTGTTGGTTACGTCATTTTGAATGAACCCCAGCTCCCAGGAGTCACTCATTGGTTATCTTCTCACCCCTTTTAGGTGCACGCACGTTTCTGATTGGCTCCCAGGGATGTCATTGTGCCGCGCTATTCACGCCGAGCACAGGTTGAATGCTCGGTAACAAAGTAACGCAAGCCAAGCGTGCTGAGCTGAGAGGAGAGGAGAGGAGTGGAGAGCGGGCTGGAGATGAACTTTAATCTATCGCGGCCATAACTTTTCCTTTGAACTTTTCCCACACACTCACCCGTTGGCTTATTAGGTCAGGGTGTGGATGTGTGGCTTGAGATCGCCCCTTCTTTATTCGCGGTGTGGATCTTTTCGTGAGACTAGTAGTTAGTTTGTAGTCTGCGCTTCACTTTGTCCGGGACCCTCTGATCGCTCTGTTCGAGCTTCAGTCGGAAATGGTGCCGTAAAAGTTTGTCAGCGAACATCTCACAGCCACAGCGCCGCGCTCAAGTGGATGGAAAGTACCGTGTTTTTTCACGTCTGCCTTTTCTGGAGAAAACGTCCTTCTAGCCGTGCAGGATTACTATGTTTCTTACTTGAGCCGCTGGCGTGATTCCGGGCGATCACCAGCACCAGCGGCATTGTTCTGATTGTTCTGCTCCGCCAGCAGCAGCACTGTGGAGCCTGTAACGTCCAGGAATGTGTGCACTTACATTTAGGCAGTAAACTCACGTGTTCAAGCGCTTCTGGAGTTTCTTACAGCTTCTCAAAATGGATATTACCGTGTCTGAACTGATGGCGAACTTCATGGAGTCCCCGCTGGTGGTTTGGGTAAGTAAAAAGGAATTAGATGGGACATGAAGACATGGCACCTGCTCCTTCCTGCTGATTTCCCTGCCCTGGTTTGGAAGACCTAAATTGTGGATTACCCAGAATTTAGTAGTTCTGTGAGGCTTTAGTCGGCAAAAGTAGGCTAAAATTGGCAGCCGCCAAGACCAGCAGACTTAAACAGTTTACGTCTTTGGATTTTTCTTTATCTGGATTTTGGTAGTGTTAGTGGGAAAAGAGCAGATGAGGTCATGCTTTGGCTCAGGCCTGAATAGATGCTGTAGAATAATCAATTAAATCCCTTTAAACTGCCTTTTAGTGGGCTGAGCATCTGGTAAACATGGTGTTATATAGGTTTGAAACTTGAGTTTTATCTGTCTGTCTATCTGTACAATGCACACACTAGTATGTCACAAGTTTGACACCTGCTCATCCATCGTTTCTTCTGAAATCAAGGATACTTATGGAGAGATTATCCCCCCCTTTCCTGCACTAACACTGGAAAATGGAACATTGCTGTGATTATTTGATTGCTTCCACACAGGGGTGGGCAATGTAAGGAGGTTTTATTATTAGCCTTATAAATTATGTCAAAATACCCTTTACTGAGCACATCTTTAATATCTCATCAGTACTTAAGGAACACTGGCCAACTACAAGTTTCATTACGGAGTGAGCACAGTTAGGCCTGTTTAACTGGATTCAGTGCAGTGCAGTTTGGAAAACACTGAATAAAATAATTGTAGTGGTTATTATTGTTGTTGTTGTATTTTACATGTGGCATTACAAGTTCTATTTTGTTTGTTCCAGTGTATGTAAAAAATATCTTGAAGTATTGTGATATATTTTTGCCATATCGCCCACCCCTACTTCCACATCACTCATCAGTGAAGTCAGGTACTGGTGTTAGATGATTAGTTCGGGATCTCAAATGCCCCTCAAGCTCCACTCAATAGTATTGCATGGTGTTCCATCTTTCCAGAAAATGCACTTCCACTGCTCCACAGCCCAGTAGAGCTTTATACCGCTCTACTCAACACTTGGCACTGGTCTTGGTGACCTCAGGCGAATGTACAGCTGCTCCAGAGCATCCTGTTCTACTGCCAGTGTATTTCTGTAGATTAAGATAGATTTTAGAAGCTGTGTGTATGCGGTTGGATGCATGTGTCAGCAGTGGGTGCACCTTATAATTAACTAATTAGAAAGGTTGTCTGAATACCTCTGCGCACAGTATGTATATATGTACTTTCAGGATGCTCGTTCAAATAATCAAACCCCATATTTCCCTCTTCCTAAACATGAACAAGCATTACAGTGTTTCTGAGGCCTTATGATCTTGTAACAAACACAAAAGTGATGTCCAGAGCCCAGCAGCAGAATCTTATGTTATTGAGAAACATTGATGTGTAGTGTATTTAACTGTTTTGTGGGAAGACGATGGCACTCGCTGAGAATATTTGAGTGAAACCTGTGGAACTTCCCATGACCCCTTCACCCTGGCCTTGCGTCCTGTTTGGCTGACCACCCTACTGCTTTCTCTCTGTATCCTCTGGCCTTTGTCTTTCTATGTAATAATTCATCTCAGAGGGCTACACAGAGCCTCCACATGAAAGGCCTCGGGCCACTGCTAACAGTTCATGGTATTGTCAGTGTGTTTGGATTTTTTGAGCTGACCACAATTTTCTGCAGTTGTTAGCTTTTACATACGTCATACGTTTACATACAGTTATGCAACGAACAGAATGGGAATTGGTTTTTATCCATATATGTAAATAAAAAGAGAGGCAAGAAAGGAAAGGCATGCCTTATGCATTACTTCTGGCCAGTGCTATAATATATTTAGAGGTCAGTCGTGAGTTACGTTTGTTTATTTGAGCTTGTGCTGTGTCTGTCATCAGTTGATGATCGGAAGCTAGGAAGTAGGCCGAATAGGTTTTAACATTGAACATGAGTCAGTTAATTAGTTAATCGCAAATGAAATATCAGCTTAGACTGCATGACCGTGACAGGCCTAGCGTCATTCATTGATATGCACTAATCATATTATCCTGCCCTAACTAAAGTGCTCCTGTTTTTCAGGTGAAGACCTTTGGGCCACTGGCCTCTAACTCGGATGACAAGCTCTCCATGTTCATGGAGCTAGTGGATGGGGTCTTCCTGCATAAGATCATGACCCACATGTGAGTGTTCCCGCCAGCAGTGTGTAGTGTGTCTGTATGTGTGTGTGTGTGGTTTAATCTTGCAGCTGTTGTACCGTTTGTCGTTCTGAAACCACATCCTATCCCCTTCTGCCTCATATCAAACTGTGCAGAGACACCATCAGTGCCTTCACGCTTCATCAGACTGTCAGTCTTAGTTTTTAATGGGCCCTGAAGCTGAGTGTCTGTCTTTGTTTGATTACTGAATCTCTTCAGTGTTTAACAGCCTGTATCTGCTAGTAAAGGCTCAATGGGGACAGTGAGGTGTAAGATAGGGGTCAAAGGGGTCACTGCATGGACCTTTTATTTGGCGCCATTTTTCTAACTGAAAGTGGCTCTTGAGAAGTTTCGGTTTGCTCTGCTGTCACCTCAGAAGTAGCGCGTGTGTGTAAAAAGAGTGACACAGGTGGCTTTCAAAGTCTGTGCTTTGCAAGTCCTTAGACAGAAAATTTGTGAAGTTATACGAAACATGATGGAGCTGCTCTGAAAGTGGCTTTGCAAGGCAATTGCTGTTTAGCAGGTCATAGTAGGTAGTGTGATATCCTGTTGTTGCATACTTGTCAGCTATTTTTTTCAAATATACGTTGCTTTAATGTCAGGTTGCCCATACCCACTTCTGACACTCCAGGAAAAGTTTCCATATGTGCAGTAAAGTGGCAGTATTAAAGCTGAAGAAGTGCTGAAAGTACACTGCCCTGCTCAAATCTGTACAGAACCCTTGAGAAAAAGTGTTCCTATCCAGTAACTCAAAACACATTTTCGAGCTAAAACTGCTTATTTGACAACATTCTTTGTAAACCGTGGCTTCTGAAGCCTTTGCGAACTTGCTCATGAAGCTGCTGAGGCATCAACAAGGAGTGGGTAATTTAAAATAAAAAATAATTTAAAAATAATAAAAAATAATTTAAAAATTTGAAAAAGTTTGAAAAAATATGTACCAGTGACAGCGTTCTGCAGAACGTCAGAGGACGCCCGTGAGTCCTCAGTGAATGGAGTTGAATGTCGTTAACGGCTAAAAATAAATTATTAAAACAGCTTTTGACCATTTGTCTAGGACCTTCCTTTAATTCTGGAAAGTAGAGCGATGTATTTAATAAAAAAAAACAAAAAACAAAGAAAACTTAATGAACATACACGAGGCACCGTTAAAAAGTCCTATAACTGAAATTCAGAAGTGTTCGAAAATATTTTTAACAGTGATGTTAAAATGTTTTCCGCTGTTGTATGTTCAGGACATTAATGCATTTTTTTACATTAAAAAGCACTTAAAACTTTGATTTTGTTCAAATGCTCCATATTAACCCATTCATTTTGGACTCGCTCGGGAGCGCCCTCTAGTGTTAGACAAACCCAATAGGCATTATTGAGTGGCAATTCTGCTCACTACATGTTCACTGGCAGAACGATGTTTTCTTCGATGCAGATGTGAATGCAGCATTAATGTGAGCTGTCCAGAGCTGTAGGAAGATTATTCAGACTGCACCAGACAATAAATCCAACGTTTAGTAAGGAGTGAGGAGGATTTAAGCCAAAACATGTTGTATTCGTGAATTGTGATTTTGAAAGTGTACATCAGCTTTTTAAATTTATTAAAGTGCAACTATAAAAAGTGAGTTACATGAGTCATTTTGGGGTCTTCATTCAGTTTTTAGATGTGCAAATTTGCATTTTGACTACCTTTTGTACTTTTCATTCATTCAGATCAACTTGAAGTCTGTGTTTCAATTTGTTATGTGCTAACTTTTGGCAATATTGTTGTACTGCTATCAGAATCTGTACCTTAACTGTAAATTCTGGATTGTAGATGTATTAAAGTTTGTGAACATGAAAGTAAAAAATGCAGATTTGAACTTTAATTGTTGTGATACGTTCGTTGTGATACGTTTGTTGTGATACATTCATACTAGTTTGCATCTCATTTCCTTACGTGTAAACTTTTCATAGTGTTGTTGCACTTCTCTCAGAATCACAATCGTACAGCCTAGAAAAGTGTGTGAAGCTGGCAACTATGGTCACTTCTGGGTAATGATTACTTGACCCAGCTTGACCCTTAATCTGTGGTTCCCAAACCTGGTTCTGAAGAACCGCCTGCTCTGCACGTTTTAGTGCTTCCCCCTGCTCCCAGCACACCTGATCAAACTAATCAGCTCATTAACAAGCCCTTCATGACTTGAAATAGGTATGTTGGGAGCCATGAAAAACTAAAATGTGCAGGGTGGGCTACTCCAGGACCAGGGCTGGGAATCTGTGGTTTAAAACAAATATTCATTTTTTTATGTTAGAAGTGCAGCTCACTTGACTGAACTGCACTCTTTCTTTCGTGGTCGTGAGAGTCAGTTTTACACTTTCTCCCTCTTTCTGTCCCACTCTCTTGCTCTGTGTCTGTGTTTTTGTGCTCTTCCCAGCTGTGCTAACCGTAGTGCCCCTCGCTAACCCTGCCCCCCATGCAGTAATGTCCTTTAACCCACTTTCCCCCAAGCTGCCCACGCCTCCTCTTTATTAATGAGTAGGCTTAAATACTGTCCTCCCTCAGACAAAGAAAATATTTTCCTCATAAAGGGGGGGGTTGTGTGTCAGGGTGGGGTAAAATGCCCCCGTCAGATTAGCGGATGACGCGTGTGACTGTGTTATGCATGAGTTCCTCTCAGACGGCATCCGTGTCTGTGTGTGCGCCTTATTACACCTGCTCTGATTTCCTGTTTAAGATGTCCTGTTAAATCCTGTACAGATTGAACAGTGTTACTGTCTGTGATGCCTTTATTACTGTAATAGAGCTCATAGATGTCAAGTGTTTTATGTGTGTGTGTATATGTTTGTATGCACACACACACACACACAAATGACCTGAGCTACAGTGGAGTTCAGAAGTCCAAGATTAAATTAAAATGAAGAAGAAATATTTGAAATTTCTTGGTCACTTTTCACATTAAAGCAAGATGGTGAAAATGACCATGTTAAAGCCTTTCTTCAGAGACTGTTGCACAAACCTGCAAACGAGTCCATGCCAGCTTTAGTGCTTACAGCAACAGGGTGACAAACCAAATACTAAGAATACTCACACCTCTTCCTGTCTCTTGTGATCTTTTGCAGTGCATCATTAGGTGTAGGTTTGTCTCCTCATTACGTTTACACACACGTGCATACAATTTCTATATGTACAGTACTGTGCAAAATCAGAGACCACCTCTCATTTAAATTATTTTTAAGAAAAACAGCTGTTAAGTACATATTATTTTATATTATTATATATTTCTAATGAGCCTTCTGCCCAATGTCAGCTGGGATAGGCTCCAGCACCCCACTGCGACCCAGAAGGATAAGCGGTTTAGATTATGTATGTATGTATGTATGTATGTATGTATGTATGTATGTATGTATGTATGTATGTATTTCTAAAGAGATTAGAAATACTAGCTGACATGCATTAGGAAGAGGAAAGTCAGAGGGAAAAAAGTGGAAAAATTATTAAAAGAATATTTGACTCCCAACAACCATGCAAGACCTGGTAGACCAGCATAACTGTCACAATCAGAAAAATGGACAGGTCTTTCTGTCCATCCTTCCACTGTGAGAAGGCAACTCAGTGCTGTGGGTGTGAAAGGATGTGTAGCTGTCAAGATGCCATTACTGGAGGAGAAAGAAATTAACAAAGAAGAACAGAATGTGCAAAAACAAACAAAGGATCTGCTGCTGTTCTTAGAACAATAGATTGACCACTCCAGAGTCCAGACCTCAGTGTCATTGAATACGTTTGAGATTGCTTGGATCATGATAAGCAGAAAATACAAGCAGAAAATACAAAAATAACTTCTAAAACTGAATTTTGGAGGTGTGCAAAAATATCCAAGCAGATTTCTTTGAAAAACTGAAACAAGTCTTGTAAAAATAATGGAAGCTGTAATAAAGACAAAGGCTGGACAAACTAGGCAGTAGTTATTGAGGCTTCTGTGAATTTGAATAAGTTTTTCTGACTTTTTCTGATGCTAAAAATAAATAACTTGCATAGCTTAATGGCTGTTTTAAAGGACGTTAATTAAATGCAGGGTGTCTGACTTTTGAACAGTATCTAAATGTAAAAGATGTGTGTAGAATTTTATTAGCTCTAGTCCATTTTGTAGTTTTAGTATACTGTAATAATGTTGCAGCTCATTTCAGGTATGTGATACGTATATCCTTATCAGCATATCTTCAGATCTATATAGTATAGTACAAAGTGACCCCTGTGGTAAAAAATCCGTCATGCTAACAAATCCCATCTGGCAGATGGCCTTTACGTGCACCCTATCCATTCTCCACTCCAAACACACCCTTTCCCCACATTCTCTCACCAAACTAGCTCTTGTTTTTCCCGGCCCCTCTGTCAGTCGCTGTGTCTATGGCTGTAAAAAGGCTCTGAAGGTGAATCACATGGCAGTTGTCCTGGCCTGAGGGCTACACAAAACATTTGAAGGCGACAGCAGAGTTGAAAAACGGTCTCTGCTCTTAACTATGGTTCTTTCACAAGCAAGTAGGAATTGTGAGCCAGGCTGGCAGGATTTGCATGCCAGTCTCACAAAGCAAATGTAAATGAGGGGAGGACAAATAACGCCTGTGCGGGAGCGCCAACGTGCGTGTGGTGGAGACTGTCCACCAGGCATGCAGCGCGCACACACACACACACACACACACACACACACGGCACGGACAGCTAAAGCCCTGACCACTTCCACAACATGGAAATAAAACAGTGATTTTTATTTTTTTTTTAAAGGAAAGCTGTACCTAGAGGGCATGAAGTTAAAAAGGAATTATGTCTATTTTATAAAAATAATCTCCACAAAATGAAATCATTATGGTGTAAACAAAGTCATGTAAAATGCTCCATTCTAGACAAAATTAGTCAAAAGTGTTTGCAGTGGTGGTGATGGGAACCAGACATTTGAAGAGTTTAATGCTTCAAAAAGTTAGCTCACAGAGTTAGCACACGAATGGTTACAAATACACTCCCTGGTGTATTGATGGTGTTGTAAGGCAAAATAGTACCCCAAAAAACTCATTTTCTAAGATTTATCACTATATTACTATTACCAACATGACAAATATTATAAAAACTCAGACACATGCACTGAGAAATGTTAACTTTCACAGGAGATTTTCAAAGTGTTCTTAAATGTAACGAGACTTCATTGCAAGCAGTTTTGGGCCAGTTCTACTGGCCTGTCATCATGAAATGTTCATGTATTGTAAAGGACAGCTGGCATTTTTGAATCGTGAAAAAATAAGAATGGAGTTACGGAGTTTTGACATGATGGCAACGATACGTTTATTTTTGGTGTGGAATTCAGTACCAGTTACAATATCCAATATTTTTCTGTATGCAGTCGTGTGCAAAAGTTTGGGCGCCCGGGTCAATGACATGTTCTGTTGATTTTCTAAGTGAAATGTTAACAACATCCTCTACAGAGAACATTTTAACACACAATTACTATTTATTTCTTTTTTTTTCAGTTTAACATATTGGAAAAAATAAAACATAAAATATGGCCTGTGCAAAAGGTGTGGCACGTTTTATATTTTATTTATTTTTTATGTTAAATTCATCAAATAAAAAATGTGCACTATAATTGCAGAAAAATGCCATATTTAACTGTTGCATATGACTTTTCATATCTACCAATGCTGATTACGTAAACATTTTCTAAAAGTACAAATTGGCAGTAGATTCACCCAGAATAGCACTACAGAGAAACGTAACACTTCTAGGAAGGTTCAAACGCAATAAAATGAATACTGTGCAGCTATTTTAGTGCAGTAGCCCAGTGTTGCCTGAACACCAAATATCAGTTTCAAATACTGGTCAGCATCTTTACAATGCTGACATTTTTACATTTTTAGGCAGTTATCTGATACTGATATTCAGATATCATCATGTATCCCTAGTTTGGTTGATAAGTCAATAGATGTTTACAGCATGTCTGTTTTTGTTTGCAGAGTCATCTGTAGTGGATTATATTCTATGATATATATGATTATATTAACAAGTTGACTGTCTTTCTAACAGAGATCCAAATCCTACAAACCACCGGGTGAACAAGCAGGTGAACAACGATGTCAACCTAAGGATCCAGAACCTTAGCACTGTTATCAGACACATCAAAAACTACTACCAGGTAAGATCACTGCACCACTTCCTGCTTCAACAGCATCTCACTTCCTGGACACTTTGAATAGTGTATCATCGATACACTGAGGGTTAGATTACACCGTGGCTGTGTACGTGTGCTGATGTTTATAAAGAGGACGTGGAGCACATCTGTGCATCTTATTATTCAACAACAAGCAATACTTTGTGACCACTACTGTGAGAGTTTATGGGGTGAAACCACTGAAGTTGACATGAAGTGTTTCATAGAGCTGGAAAGACGTAATGTGGTTGAGGGTGGTCTCTGAATTTCTGAAAGTTTTACTAGACCTGTAATGATTGTAATGATAGGAGTCAGAGTGAGTCAGAGAGGGATAAAAGTGAGAGAGTGTGGCAAAGCACTTTTTAGAACAAATGCAGCAGCTTCATCGTGCAGCGTGATGTACGATTTCAGAGAAGACATTTCTAGGAAGCGAGTGTAATTTTGTGGGTGGACGTGAGTTGGTTTTGTAAGCCAGCAATCTTTTGGTTGGTTTTGGGCAGTGCCTCGGCCTTTAAGTAGCCGTTTGCCAAATCTGAAACCCTATCTCATGGCTGACCCTTCTCCTCCAGCATTCCTTTCCTGACCGTACAGTTTCTCAACTCAACTGCTACACTGTAGGACATCCAAATGCAGTGCCTTTCAAAAGTATTAAACCCGCCTTAAAAGTTATCAGATTCGCCAGATTACAAATGATGCTTACACAGATTGTTCTAGCCAGTATTTTTATTACAAATCAGTATGTTCTTAAGTAAAATTTCTTATTTGTCAACAGAGGAAAAAAAAATCATTCATCCCTTTCAGCCACTCCTGTGTTGCTTTGGCTTTGTGCTTGGGATCATTGTTCTGCAGATTGAAGCAGGTTGTCTCACTGCACCATCCATACGTCCTTCAGTTTTAACGAGATAGCCAGTCCCCGCTGAGGAAAAGTATCCTGACAACATGGTGCTGCCACCCCCATGCTTCACTGCTGGGATGGTTAGCGAATGGGTAGTGTTACATATGCACCACACACAGCCTTTTGAATTTTGGCTAAAAATCTGTCATCTGACCACAAAACCATATCCCACATTTTAGGTGAGTCCATCTGATGCTTTCTTTCTAGCAAAATCTAGCTGTGCTTTGATTTTGTTTTTTCTTCACTAATGGCTCCTCTCTAGCCACCCCAACTCCTCACAGGGCAGTGTACAGGAGCATTATCTTTCATCTGTATAAACTTGAAGGTTTCACAGCACATGGGTTGAATATTTAGGGTCCTTTTTTAATAAACTATGGCACAGCATGAAGTATCATTTGTAATCAAGATGAGTCTGATTCCCTTTAAGGGGGTTGAATACTTCTGCAAGGCACTGTGTGTACACATGCCTTACATGTTTGTTATTTTCTCTTACACATATGTAAGTTTCCTATAAATAATAAAAAGCATGCAGGGAATATGTGCATGCCTAACTACATATAATTACATTCTACTGCAGTTTTTCTTTAGGTTTGTGTTTTTAGTGTCTGACGTTCCTAACTTGCTCGCTCTTTCTCACCTCACCCTCAGTTCATATCAGAGAAGGTGTCATCTCATTCAAGGGGTTGTTATTTTTCAGAATGTTGTGTGAAGTGCCTCTCAGTTGTAGAGCTATGTTGTCTTTATTGACAGTGAGAATCTAACACATACAGTGCTCCTTTTAGAGCTCTCTGAAACTCTGCACTCAGATGTCTGAGTGCTACTGTTTTGTAGGGCCTCTGTTTGGGTTTTCGCTAGAAGTAACAGTGTATATATTTCAGTATGTGTGGTTATTTAGAGGTGTGCTCACTTTGGGGTAAATGCACTCTAAAGAAAGCACTTATACATGTCTTAACAGAGATCCTCTGTGTGTAGCCAGTGTCCCTTAGGCTATCAGCTCAGACGCATTGGGCAAGAACCTGCTCAGCTATACTTTTCTCATATTCTGAAAGTGAAATAGATGGACACCATTGTTCTGTAGTACAACATAGTGGCTGTCGAGACACAAGCACTCTCATGATCATGAAATTTTAGCTGATTATTTATTGCCATAGAAATAATTGGAATTTTTTTCAACTGTTAGTACAAGAATAAAGTGGACATATAAACTGATTAGCTGTCTTGCTTTTTAGCTGTTAATATTAACAGCTAAAACAGCTCAAGCTTACCATTGTCCTCTAAAGGTATTATTAACAAACATCAAATAAACAAACATTACCAGTACAAAAATTACTTGAAATAAAATTGTACTCAAGATGGCACTAATCCGATATAGTGTATCAGAAGAAAATGCTGGATTGGATATTGGAAGGAAAAAGGAATGAATCTGATCCTATCCTGCAACAAATCTAGGTTGAAATAGCCACACATATATTGTGTAATATGTTGTAAGCTGTGTATTTCTTCCTGTGGGGTAGTAGTGTTTGAGGTGTTCCAGCAAGATAGTCTTCTCATAAAGCATTTCCTTTTCAGAGATACAAGGTTTTTTACAATAGCAAAGAAGTGCCAGTGTTGTGTGTGTGTGTGTGTGTGTGTGTGTGTGTGTGTGTGTTTGTATGTGTGTGTGTGTTTTGTCTCATGAGGTTAAGCTAAAGACCATGTGAAGTGTCCAGTCTAACTGTTGAAATGTGGGTGAATGGGGGAGCTTCAGAAAGGCAACATCTGGAGGTCTTGTGTGGGTCATTGCACTCCTGATCAAGAACAGATGTGTTGTCTTAGCTTATGTTGATCACAACCCTGTAGACCCTCACTTGCAGGTTCTTGTGTGGTGGGGGTGGGTTGGTGTAATTTGATAAATAAAGGCTCTAAAGCCCCCTCAGGAGCTGTTTTGAGGATATCCGGACAGTGGTCAGCGGAAACGCTTAGCTCTTGTAATGCATTAGCCCTCTCACTTTAGATTAAAATCCTTTTTCATTTTCCTCTCTGTTATTCGAACCTGATGCCAGTCTGCTTCCTCTCACTCTCTTCTCCACTCTTACACCCTCTCCAGAAACAGTGTAGCTCCACTTAAACTGCCCCATACAAGATAACGCTGCCTAATATGTGGGCTTCGCAATGTGGACAGAAGAAATACCATATTGCAGATCAACTGCTGCATATTATTATGTGCTTTGCGTATATTGAAAACACAACACATTTGCCTGGAATGTTGGACATGGTCAGGAATATTTTGTGATTTCTTGGACGGTTCATTTGTATATTGCAAACTTGTGATAAGTGTTTCCAAGGACACTATTTTGATTGTGATTTACAATACTGCTATATACATATACAATATACACTCTCTGGCCACCTTGTAGTACACTCGTACATTTTTATGAGGTCCACTTACCATATAGATGCATATAGATGCAGTTTGTACATCTTCAGCTGAGGTTGTAGCTGCAGAAGTTGAAGGTGTATAAAGTAAAAAGTTTCTGCTTGAAGAGACACACTCAGCCCAATCAGTGCAGCTGGTAAATGTGAGATAACCGATCAAACCATGTTTTACCCAAGTTTAGAGAGCTTATAGCTTGGCTATGAGACCTAGTTAAATTAGCCTTTAGACCTTTTTAACAATTTGGTAAGAAATTAGAGTAGCTAAAGTTAATTTAAAAGTGTATTGCTAACTAATTCAAAATATAGGCTTTTTTAAAGTTAGAAGTAGTTATTTAGCTAGCAATTGCTATTGTTTGCTAAGTTTTTTTTAGCTTAGTGAGCTCGGTAGCCAGCTAGCTACATTCTCATCTCTACAAAACAAAGAATTAACTAAAAGCTGAGATTAATCAGCTAATATGGATGTCTTTGGAGGTTATTGACATTGGTTGCTTGAAAATGAAACAATAAAGCTAGCAAATCCAAACCAACACATTTATGTATAGCTGCCTATTCAGCCCACAGCAGTTTAGCTTTTCCCATTCACCTTGAAGTTATAAGGAGTGTTGTAACCTGGACTTCTTTTTGAATTAGGCACAATGAAGAGAGGTTGGAAATGGCTATCAGGGCAAAAAAATTCATACAAGAAAAAGAAAAGATATGGGCCCATTCAGAATAACTTAGTTAGCATTGTCTTGCATGTAATTACTGAATAATAAGCGTTGAGGTGTAATACTCTTGGGAAGATGTGAACTATACAACTAAGAGTTTTCTAGACATCCCAGAAGCCCATTTAACATCTGTGCTGTCATACTAGTTGTTAAATATTTTAGGTTAAAATGAATTCATGCCGTGGATAGGTAAGTTCAAACTGCACTCTCCTCAAAATGTGTGAGTTATTTATATTTATTAGAATGATATGGGGTGTACATTGAAGTTTTGGTATCAGTATTCAATCTGAGGCATCAATACTGTATTGGATATCCAGCCCTACTTCCAAAATGTAAGGACAGATCAATTTGTTTACATCCTACTTCTGCAAAGTTAGATTGACCTTGAAATCTTAGTAGATCGATGTGATGGATCTGTTCCAAATCCCTGTAATAATGCAGTGCCCAAAGCGTCTCTGTTTCAGAACTGCCATGGTTGCTTGTTGTGTTAGCTCTTTCTTAATTTCAAGTTATTTCAGCCTGGCCAGTCAGTGCATGATCTGCTAATTACACATGGCACAGGGTGGAAAGGCACATAGCTGACCACATTACTTAAAAATAAGATTTTTCTCTTTTTTCATTGGTAGTGCATTTAAACTTTTAGAATTCATAGAGTATGTATGTATAACTAGAGTTGCCCTGATATGAGAAATATTAATTTTTTGCTTATGACATGAGCTGCTGCTGCTGACCTCAGTTTTGGTGTAAAATCCACCCTCGGCACCTTCGTCATCGAGATAACCACTCTGATGCACGCGGAGCCTCTCCTAATAGCCATAAACCATCATGTTGCTGGCTGTTGCTATTGGTCCCTGCAAAGATATCACCGCGCACCCATTAATTATTGTGATAGGCCCAGGAGGTCTGGGAGATAAGCAGTGGGTGGAGATTGCTCTTTCATGTGCATGACTTTGTGGCAAGAAGACAAT